CCCGCTGTTTTTTGCACGAAAGATCCAAAAATCTGTTGCAATTTTCTTTTTCAAAAAAAAAAAAAAAAGAATCCTGTGAAAACTACCTGTAGGAACTTTCGTAGTCAATGCTATCATCTGTGTAGGCTTTTCCACACTGTTGAGTTTCCCCCCTTTACTTTAGAAACCATTTAGAGGAGATGTTTTTGCTACTATCAGTAGTCATCCCAGAACAAAGGCTTCATGCATTCGTCTATTTATTCATGCAACCATTTACTCATCACATATTAATCGAGCACCTATTTAGTGCCTAACACTATTCGAGGCACTTGGAATATATCAGCAAAAAAGCAGGAAAAGGTTCCTGCCCCGCTGGAGCTTACCTTCTCATGGGAAGTGGGAGACAGTTAGGTAATAAGCCAACATGGTAAGTCAGAGAACAACACCACATCTGGAAAGTTCATAAGTGCCCTGGAAAAAGTAAAAAGGAGAGTAGGGTAAAGGGGATGGAGAGCCGGGTGTGTAGGAGGGGTGCCATATTAAATAGTGCCATCAGGATAGGCCCCGTTGAGAAAGCGAGATGAAGAGGAATGAGGAAGTTAGCCAAGCAAATGTCTGGCTTAAAGCAGGGGCGACAGCTAGAGGAAAGGGCCCAGGAAGAGTCTGGTTTCTCAATATAGCAAGAAGGTCAGAGTCGAGCAGAGAGAAGAGGAGGCTCGCAGAGGAGAAGGACGGAGCTGCGGCAGAGCGGGCCGGCATCACGTGACGTCGAGTAGCCACGTGACGTGCTCCGACTTAGTGTTTCAAAGAACCTCTCTAGCTCGGGGGTGAGAATGGACAGTAGAGGGGGCTGGGTCTGGAAGCAGGGAGAGCGAACGATTTTTACAAGTCACATCAGAAAATGTTAACACCTTCTTGGTTTACATCGTTTGAAACCAGACTTAGAACTAGAAAACAAAACACAGCACAACCCCCTGCTCGGTCCTCTCCTCGTGCTCCATGTCTTACGCCCTCCCCAACGAGGCCGCACCATTCCTAGGATTTAATTTCTGTCACTTTGGAGGAGCGTTAAATATAAGCTAATGTATTTATGTATTAAATATAAGCTAATGCGCTTCTCTTTCAGGGGCAGTGCCTGAATATCACAGAGGACAAATCACCGAGTCAAGGGGCACTGGTGAAGCAAACACAAGGTCAGAACATTCCAGAAGTAGTTCTGGAATGCTTGGTGATGGAAGAAAAGAACAGAGTCAGGAAGGGGGTCAGCTCTGGGTTCTGAGTGCAACGTATCTGACTGATGAAGGAGATACGTATTTAACGTTTTCTTTAATATTTAGAGTGATGAGATGTAAAATACCACATGGTACCTTACTCTGTTGTTATCTTTGAATTTCCTGATGCAACTTAGACTTGTCATCTATTTGTTTCTTTCTCAAAAATCAAACATTAGGGATTTAGTTCAGAGACAGAGAGAGAAGGAGAGAGGGAGAAAGAGAGAGAGAGAGAGAGAGAGAGAGAGAGAGAGAGAGAGAGAGAGAGAGAGAGAGAGAGAGAGAGAGAGAGAGAGAGAGAGAGAGAGAGAGAGAGAGAGAGAGAGAGAGAGAGAGAGAGAGAGAAATCTCTGCTACAAAAGGGTATCAAAAATCAAGACACAAGAACTATGGCCAATAATAAGATTGAACTTGAAACTTCTAAAGAGCTGTCTATGTAAACATGAGTTATAAGCAAGACTACTTAGGGCTCTCAATCGTTTCACATGACTGAGGACGCAGGAGTGCAGCTATTAGGAGAACTCCTAGGAGCAATGACTGCCCTAGAAAGGATGGTCTCTAGGCCTCTGC